AAGTCTTTAAGAAGATGTTGGATAGCCATTTGTCTGAAACGGTATAGGGTTTCCTGCCTAGGCAGGGGGTTGGACTAGAAGACCTCCAAGGTCCCCTCCAACTCTGATGTTGTGTTGTGTTGTGTTATGTTATGTTCTCTCTGCCTTTTCTGCAGCAATCCTGTTTGAATGCGTCCACACCATTTACACAATTCATCCCAAACCTGATCTGTTTGAGAAGGCCGCCAAATGTATTGGGAAATTTGTCTTGTCCCCTAAAATTAATTTGAAATATTTGGGTAAGTTCTCTTGTTTTTTTTTTGTCCCCTTCAACCCAGCGGAATAAACGCCGAATACCTTCTCTTTCATTTTTCCAACTTTCTAGTTTTTTCCTCCCCTCTTTAGGATTAAAGGCTTTAACGTATGTTATCCAGCAAGATCCCAGTCTTGCTCTCCAACACCAAATGACAATAATTGAGTGCCTGGAGCATCCTGACCCCATTATTAAAAGAGAGGTAATAAATACCAAGTTACGATTATTGTTACGGAGATACGCACTGTTAGCAATGGTAAATAATTGCATTTCTTCGATTATCCCACTAGACTGGTCCTTAAACTGACTGCAGCTTTTTTTTAAATCCATCTTTCCCTCTGTTGAACTGGAGTCAAATTTATCCGTTCTGCCTTCTCCTTCAGACCTTGGAACTTCTGTATCGAATAACCAATGAACAAAATGTCACCGTCATCGTACAGAAAATGCTCGACTACATAAATCAAAGCAAAGAGGAATATACCATCATCAACATTGCCGGAAAAATAGCAGAATTAGCAGAAAAATATCCTTTTACTTGCTGCGTGTGCCTGTTACTATCAGGTGTATGTCTGTATCCCTCCATATGTTTTTTTAAAAAAAATTGTTTGTATTGATATATCATTTTGACAGGTCCCTTTTATTGCATCTAAAATTCAGGGTTTTTTAAAAGGCATCTGTCTCGCGATAACCTTGAAATTAACCCAAATAGAGTAGAATAGAATAAAGTAGAGCAGAAGAGATCTGGAAGGGACCTTGGAGGTCNTTTCTTTCTTTCTTTCTTTCTTTCTTTCTTTCTTTCTTTCTTTCTTTCTTTCTTTCTTTCTTTCTTTCTTTCTTTCTTTCTTTCTTGCAATTTCTTTCTGTACAACATTTCTACCTCAGTATACATCCATTGTAAATGCCCTTCTCTCCCTTATTTCAGTTTCTCTTTGTCCATACATATGATGCTATTATATACAGACCTTAATTTACAAACATTCTTTCCATTTATATGTTTGTTCATCTCTACTTATACATTGTTAATTTCTCACTCCTGTGTCTTCTTCATTTAATCTTTCCTTAAGCTTTACACCTGTCCTCTAGCCATTTGTACCACTCATTCCATACCATATAATATTCTGTTTTCTTCTTTTCTTTTATTTCTTTTGTAAATTTGTCCATCTCTGCACACTCTAACACTTTCATTATAGCATTTATTATAGCCCTGATTATTTTCAAATAAAGGTGTACAGAGACATGAAAAAGAAGTCTTGAAATAACTTTGTTACTGCCTTATGTGGTTGTAAACTTAATATAAGGTTAATATACAGTATATCCTGGGAAATTCTATATCCATACATGCTCATGCTTGAACTTCAAAACTCTTTACTTGCAAGTACTAGTAGAATAATGTGACACTTTAGCCAACCTTCCTCTGAAATCTTGGAAAGCTGCTGTCAATTCAGTGTAGACAATAAACTGGAAGGTCAAACAATTTAAGTTAATATGGAAAAGCTTTCTGGGTTTCTTCTGGGTTTTTTAAATTGGTGTTCTAAATTTAGAAGTTATCTGCCTTGAATGAGCTTTCTGGCTCCAATTCTGCATGTTTTTGGATTTTCCTATCTTAAGCTTTATCAGTAAAGTAAATACAATTTCTCTTTCTTCTATTCCTTTATTGCTGTGTTTTTGTTGTGGTTCTGGCATGTTTAAAATGTAAGTTATTTTATATATAATTTTAGTTTTCATAGTGTGATTATTTGATCACTTAGATCAAATATGGAGAAGTACATTTTATTTTTAACACACAACTTATGCAATGTGTTTGCTGAACTGTTTCCAAACCTTGATAGGCATAGGAATCACTATACTTCAACTATTCCTACTCCAATTAAACTTATATTTAGAAAACTGAATATATTCAGCTTGTTCTTTTTCCCCTCCTAATGTGCATAAAACAGAATAAATAGCAATAGCAGTTAGACTTATATTGCTAAATGTTTTTGCAAAGCTCTGTAAATTGCTATAGCATGTATTCTACAGGTGAAACTCAAAAAATTAGAATATTGTGCAAAAGTTCATTTATTTCANTAGATAGATAGATAGATAGATGGATGGATGGATGGATGGATGGATGGATGGATGGATGGATGGATGGATGGATGGATGGATGGATGGATTAGAGATAGAGATAGAGATAGAGATAGAGATAGAGATAGAGATAGAGATAGAGATAGATATATAGGTCTATCTATCTATCTATCTATCTATCTATCTACCTACCTACCTACCTACCTACCTACCTACCTACCTACCTACCTACCTACCTACTTACCTACCTACCTACCTAAAAGGCATCTTAATCATTGGAAACATAATAATTCATATACTCATATACTGTACTCATGGGAAAGGCATGATTCCATTTTGCTTATTGTAATAGCACTTTTGTCGTACAGAGTTTTATAACTTTAGCACTATAATTAATGATATATAGTGGCACTTACATTTAGCACAACTAAAATCATCAATTTTAAAGCACTTTACTGAATGAGTCTGCTAAAGTATAGGAAGGCTTGAATGATTTACCAAAGATTATAGTAAAGACTATTTAAAAGAACGGCAATAAAAATCATAACAAATTTGTTTAATATTATAAATTATGTTTGCTACTATAATTTCTCGCAGTAGACATTTCTTCCAAATGGACCTAAAGTTACATGTGAGATTTACTATAGCCCACGTAGCTTTTAGGGAAAAGGGAAATAGTCAGATGAGTTATTCATTATACAAATTGATAGGTAAAATTTGCCTTGAGGATATATTACCTTGATTAAAATTATTCCTTAGTCAACAGCTTCTTAGAATATTAGCATTCCTTTAGTACTAGTTAATTACTTTCAAGCAGATTAAAATGAATATTTTTAATATGTATTTTAGCTAGCATTTACTTCAGAGTTACATAGTCACTTCCCCCATCAAATTTATTTCTATCGTATCCCGACTTATGTTCTCAAACAAAGATACAGAACGGAAAGAGAGTGTGTAAACTAGCAAAAACCCTATTAAAAAGAATGTAATGATAGAGAACTTGGAAATAAAATGTAGGATTTCTGTTCTGATCAAAACTCATCTGTTAACATTTGCTGAAAAGCTCAGTATCTGCAAAATCAGGCTCAAAACATCTCTGGATTTTTGTGTATATGTGAAGCTGACACATATACAAAAATGGTGGGGCTTTGATTCTCTTGCCATGAGCACCATCTTCACTTTTTTGATCTCCTGCATAAACTAGATAAAAGTTTTGTAAATATTTTAAAATCCAGGTCATTGCACAGAAATATTGAAGTTAGTTGTTAAAGATGCTTAGATGTTAGAGGGCTATGGCAAACTAATTGCTGTAATATTTCTGTAAAAAGAACTGTGGATTAGAAGAGAGAATAAATTATGGCATACCTCCATAGTTGGTAGGTTCGGGTTTATTATTTTTAAAAGAAAATATATGTTCTACAAAACCTGAACTGTGTAGATGTTAGAAAAGAGTTCTGCTATAGAAATGGTTGCCTATTTCCAAATAACTGCAATGATTATTTTCTTTCTTTCTTTCTTTCTTTCTTTCTTTCTTTCTTTCTTTCTTTCTTTCTTTCTTTCTTTCTTTCTTTCTTTCTTTCTTTCTTGCAATTTCTTTCTGTACAACATTTCTACCTCAGTATACATCCATTGTAAATGCCCTTCTCTCCCTTATTTCAGTTTCTCTTTGTCCATACATATGATGCTATTATATACAGACCTTAATTTACAAACATTCT